GAGAGAGAGAGAGAGAGAGAGAGAGAGAGAGAGAGAGAGAGAGAGAGAGAGAGAGAGAGAGAGAGAGATTATAGCTTTGATGATATCTGCTGTTGCTTGGTATAGTGAACAAGTTTCTTTGACTGTGTAGTTCTTAGCGCTGTGGGCTATTTGGTCTCAGCTATCAAACAGGGAACTGTGGTGGCTGTTGGTTGCTTGTGTGTAACTTTAATCACCGTGTCTCTTTGGTGCTTAAACTATTACTCCACACAAACCTCTTTTTCTTGGTGCTCAATTTGCCGTCCCCTACACTATTTGACTGTTGGTGTCTGGGCCTAGTGGGACCTGCCAGCCTTTTTTATCCGGTAGGGCGAACCTGACGATGGGCTCGTAGTTAACTGCCGGAGAGCAGTGGCCAAGCACACGCGTACTGGTGGCTTAACCAATTTCAAAGATCTGAGAGATGACTCAGTAATTGAAGCTGCAGATCCCTTTTGAAATCCTCACAATGGCTTGGTTGGTATATGATTGCTATGTGGCCATCGAACTGGGATATTTATCTGATGAGTGAGACGTAAACCACTTGTCTGGTCCTGAGTTCTGTTGGTTGATTAGTCGGTCACCTTTGCTCTTTCCACTATGCAGAGCTCGAGAATGGAAAGGCCGGTGGGTTGGACACAGACAGGCGCTGCTTCCAGGTCACCATCTCTCCCAAGGTCAGTCGTTTGTCTTCGTCTGGAAAGCCGACTCCCCATCCCTCTCTGTGATTGCTTACGTCAGCGGTTGGAATCATTGCACATCATGATCTGCAGTTGTGTTCTGTATTGAGAATACAAATGATAGTGTGACTTTTCACTATGTTGCAAACTGATGACGGCCGTTCACAATCTGAGAGGCTTGTTGAGCAGCACCAGAGTTGGTGTGAGAAAATGTTTATGCATGGAAGGAAGTACGCATCGCTATTTTAGTCATAGGGAGTAGCGCAGTTACTGTATGATTGTTTACCAAAATCGCCTAAAGGGTAGGTAGTAGGCTTGCTGTACCGAAATCGTCTAAATGTGTTGTTGATCAATTTTGGACTCGAATGAACCGCTAGTGTTTTGCTATACACGAGTCCGGGAGTCCGTGTTGCTGTGTTGTGTGCTTTCCTGACTCTATTCTCTTGATACTCAGGACGTGCAACTGCTTGCTTTCCTGCAACTAATGCAGCAATGTCTGCTGTCCCTCTGTTTTGTTGTCGTTATGTTTTCCGCCAATTAAATGTTTCACTTCCTCTGCCTTTCAGGGTGATGACGAAGATGAGCCAACTGAGGTGCCAGGTTTGCTGTGACATGGGATTCCATACCCCTACTCTCACCCGCTCATTCTCTCTCTCTCTCTCTCTCTCTCTCTCTCTCTCTCTCTCTCTCTCTCTCTCTCTCTCTCTCTCTCTCT